TTATTGAAATAACAAATAAATGGAAGCATTTAAGATCATTTCTGTATTTGGTATCATTTTAAATTTAGAGGTGTGTGTATGTGTGTGTGTGTGTGTGTGAGAGAGAGAGAGAGAGAGAGAGAGAGAGAGAGAGAGAGCGCGCACACACAAGTGAGTGAGCTGTGGAGAGAGAGAGAGAGAGAGAGAGAGAGAGAGAGAGAGAGAGCGCGCACACACAAGTGAGTGAGCTGTGGGTGTGGTTCCCATGCCATAGTGTGTGTGAAAGGCCAGAGGAAAAGTGTATGGGGTCAGTAATCTCCATTACATCTATATGTGGGTTCTAGGGGTTAATCTCAGTGGTTAGACTTTTTAAAAAATTGTATAGTTGGGTGGTGGTGGTGCACACCTTTAATCCCAGCACTCTGGAGGCAGAGGCAGGCAGATCTCTGAGTTTAAGGCCACCGTGGTCTACAGTGAGTTCCAGAACATCCAGGATTACACCCTGTCTTGGGGGAAAAAAAGTTGCATAATAATCTTAAAGCCAACATTCATCACTGAATGTGATTCTTGACAATTTAAAAGAGACATAGTCACTGGCACCCAGAACAAGAGCTGGTGGTGACTTGGTGGTCTCTTTGTCCCAGCTGGTGCTTCTCTTGTTTACTGTCTTAATCACTTGACACTGTGACCGTGGCAATGCAATGCTTGTTTAACTGGGGCTCCTTACAGTTTCAGATGTTTAGTCCGTTGTCATCTCGACAGAGAGAAAGCAAGGTGGCATGCTAGCAAACACGGTGCTGGAGAGTAGCTGAGGTTCTTCAGCCAGACCTGCAGATAGCAGAAAGTGAGACTGAGTCTGGCAGGGGCTTTTCAAGCCCATCCTGGGTGACCCACTTCCTTCAGCCTGGTCACACCTCCTAATTCCTCTAATCCTATCAGAGAGTTCCATTCCCTCTTGACTAAGATTCATTTATATGAGCTCATGGGAGTGGTGGGGCATTCCTACTCAAACTACTACATCGACCCACTCTTATTTTTATCATTGTGTTTTTTTTTTTCTCATTGTTTTGAGACAGTCTCACTTTATAGCTCAGATTGGCCTGGAGCTCACTCTGGTATCCAGGCTACCTTCAAACATATGGCAGTTTTTCTGCCTTGGCCTCCCCATTGTTAGGATTATAGGTTGAGGCACCATTCTTGGGTTGGCCCACTCTGAAACAAAGGGTTTCCTCCATAGCTTCCATGGCATCCAAAGCCAGTACTGAGAGGGAAAGGAAAATTACTGGAGGGGAGCATGGGTAAGGAAGGATATAAAGCAGAAGGCAGCTTCCATGCCCTGTAGCTAATGAGTTAACCTCCTTGCCTCCCTTCTACCTACCTAAGGGCAGAGTTCACTTAAACGTAGATAGCTCTCTTCACAGAACTTCGAAATCTGTTTTACAAGTACAGAAGTTCTTTTCTCTTTAGGCCCATTTATGTGTTTGAGTGTGAATGCACATGTATGTAGATATATTTGGAGGCCATTGGAAAACTCAGGTATTTTTTCTTGGGTTGTCTGTCTGTCTGTCTATCTCTGTCTATCTGAGTACTTTACTGGCCTAGAACATGCCAAGTGGGCTTAGCTGGCTGGCCATGTTGTCACAGGGATCCTCCTGTCTCCACTTCCCCATCACTAGGATTACAAATGCCCAGCACCATGCTTGGCTTTTAAATATAGGTTCTGGGACTCAAACTCCAGTCCTCATTGTTCGCAAAGCAGGCACTTTACCTGCCGGGTCCCAAGCCAGGTCATATGTGTCTTCTCTAATGTCTTTATTTTAAACCTTTATACCTTCGTGTTTGTGTTTGCTTAAAAAGGAATGCGAAGAAATTATGTGTTCAACTTACATGGTATCATTCACAGCAAGAAATGCAATGCAGCATTACTGTGTTGTTGTTTAGCCTGACGTGTTCCTCAGAGATACTGTCACATTGGGTGCAGCCAGGAATCCTACTTATGTCATAGGAAAGAATTCAGGAGTTCAGGAGTTGTTATAAGGCAAAATTGAGTTTACTAAGAAAAAGATACTATAAAACCAATGTGTAGGTGTAGGCTTAAGAGAGCCATATTTCAGTACCTTCGCTCTCTCTCTCTCTCTCTCTCTCTCTCTCTCTCTCTCTTTCTCTCTTTCTCTGTCTCTGGTGTGATTTTGTGACTTTTGAAGTCACAATGATATCATTGCTATCTAAGTTTAAAAGGTTAAGTGCAAATATTTTGGTATACTTTTGGGGGAAAGTGCTGGGGATTTACCTTGGAGCCTTGCACATGCTAGGCGGCTGCTTTGCCAAATGAGCCACATCCCTAGCCCTGACTTTTTGTTTAAAGGATTTTTATCCAAAGGTGTCTTCTGAGGTAAGTGGTACGTATTTAAAGATAAGAAAGGACTTCGGATAAAAACAGAAGTCAAAAAAGTCAATGTAGCTCTTACTGTATAGTAAGAAGTAGGTCCAGGCATGGATTTTGATTATAAATGTGGTTCACAAACCACACTTGTAAGATTTTCTCAGAAAAATACAGTTCAAAGATGAGAAATGACTGGTGATAAAAATTAAACTTAATTTGGGGCCTAAGCATGGTCATTAGTTTATCTATCATCCATCTCTCTTTGTGTCCCTCCCCTGACCACAATATGTTTTTGAGACAGTGTCTCTTGTAGCCACCTGAATATTTACCCAAGGATGGTTTTGATTTCCTGATCCCTTGCCTCCACTTCTCCTGGAATTACAGGGATGTGTGACCATGTCTAACTCATTAGCTGATTTAACACTCTTATTTAAGAAATCTCAGGAGAGGCCATCTTCATAGTGGTTTTGCTAGTGCAGTCAAAATTCTTGACAGCAAGAAAGGCAAAGCAGACTGGGAGGTGGTGAGGCATCCTTTGCCTTTTTGTCTTTTTTCTTTGCTCTTTCTATCCTGCCTTTGCTTGTTTCAGTGCTGGGGATTCAATTTAGAGCTTTGGGTATGGCAGGCCAGCTGTTTACCTACGAGGTATTATACATCCTCAGTTCCCTTTTCTACTTTTGAGGCAGGATTTTGCTATGTTGCCCAGGCCAGTTTTACCCACAATCCTCCTGCCTCATATTCCAAGTTCTGGGTTTATAGGTGTGTGTCACTATGTCTGTCTATAGACACTTATAATATAGTTTCAAAAAACATAAAATTCTGTTATTTGTGTCAATTCCATTTCAGTTTTTTATTTCCAATTATGAAGGTTAGTTACTTGAAGCTCGTTGATACATTGTCATAGTGAGCTTTCCATCACAGATCTGTAGTGAGTAATTCAGCCTGCCTATCCATAACTGTATTTGAGCACTTCTCCCAGATTTACCCACCAGGGAGGGACCACTAGGTCATCCAGCCTATGTATAGTATCACAAAGAACAGGTACAGTTAGCAGGGTGACTGTGTGTGTGTCCTCTTACCTCAGTGCACAATTCTTGCCTTCCCATATCTTGGCCACCTTTTGCTAATTTCCACCATCCTGCTTGGTAGAAAGTCCTTTCTCAGTAACTATGCACGTTGGTCACATACCCTGTTAGTATTGATAACTCAGCACTGACCAGCCACTGTCATACTTTAAGTTTCATTTGTCTGTTAGCAGCCACTTAGGTGTCCCTTTTTGTAAGTTCCTTATTCATATCTTTGGTCCCTTTTGCTGTGAATTTCTTGTGATGTCATTAAGTGACATGCTCTTCTGTATTATAGATATCTAATCCTTTTCCATTTGAAATGTTAGACTTTTTCATGATTTCATTCCTCCTAATTCTGTTCATGGTCTTCTATATGTACAGAAATCCTTAATTTTGTTGAAGTCAAAAAATTTGTGTGTTTAAGAGTTTCTTGGAGGTTCTTCTGTTCTCTAGTGTCCTATACTTTAGAATGTTATCCCAACACTGGTTTTCAAACACTTGTACTTGTGGCTTTTTGAAGACTTACTTTTTCCTTTCTTTGTCTCCAATTGGGTTGGTGGTGTTATCTTTTGGCTGCTCTTAATGGAGTTTTTAAAAAATGAAAGAAAATGGATTATAAACCTCCCCTTCTCTAAGCTCTTCCAGGATTGGGCCTTTGACCCTGTTTTTCCTGTTTGAATCCTGTCTGCTCAGCTATAGCTGATCCAAAGCGGTGCTTGCCTCCCTAAGCTGAGCACTCACTCAGCCTTCCTCCAAGGAATTTGGAATTAGGGCCCGTCTTAGCTAGTTTCTTGAAGGAGTTGCAAATTAAGAGGTTTGGAATGACTGTCTTCTACTGTGGGCACCAAGAACTAGAGGAGTTATCTGAAGAAAGATTGAAGTTATGAGCAAAGAAACAAAGGGAAAAGCTGTAGTCCCATGGAGAGGAGAGAGTTGGAGCTGGAATGTGAAAGTAGCCGGCCTGGATCCTCCTGATGGCTTTCCAGATTCTGGTTCTGTTCTCTCCTGAGAATACATTACATTTCCTTTTGCATTAGATAGAGGTGGCTAGCCACTGTAACAGACAGACTCCAAAGTATATAATGGCCCTCACACAGTAAATGCTCGCTTCTCACTTACACAAACAGGACCAGGTGACTCCAAGTTAGCAGGGTGACAATTATTTAGGAACCAAGGTTGATGGAGGCTCTGCCATTTCCTACATATGACTGTCAAGTCTCCCTGGCCTTTAGCATCCATCCTACAGAAAGAAATGGTCATATAATTGAACCTATGGGAAGCTTTATTGACCAAGTTCCTTCAACTAGAACTCTGTCACATTTAACTCTACAGGAGGAGGAAATGTAGTTTAGCTGCGGACCAAGAAGGACGAGGAAATGTGTTTAGTGAATAAGTTGAGATTACTACAACATGTTTGTATCTGTATGATACTTCTATCTTTCTAATCAAATTTCAATTTTTCTTAAACATGTTTGAGATGCTTCTGTTATTTTAACTTCAATGCATAAGATATTTTTGCCACATCCATATTTAAAATAGAAGAGATAAAGCTGAGTAATTACTTTCCTCAGGAAAACTGGGCCGATTTCCACCTATGATGCATCACCACTCAGTGCCCTCAGACGGGCAGATGCCTGGAGCTCGTTTCCAGAGGTCCCACCTTGCAGAGGCCTTCGCAAAGGCCAAGGGAGCAGGCGGAGGTGCTGGAGGAGGGGGCGGTGGAAGAGGACTGATGGGCCAGATCATTCCAATCTACGGCTTTGGAATTTTTTTGTACATACTGTACATTCTGTTTAAGGTAAGTGGAATTATCTTAGACATTTGCCAGTGAAAATTTAATGTCGTTATAATAAAAATAATCTCCAGTAAAACCCTATAAAGGTCACACAGCTCTTTCAAATTCATCATCTCTTTTTAAAAAAAAAAAACTTCATCTCTTTGAACAGTTAGGATAGCTATCATCTCAGTTTTACAGCTGAGAAATCTTAGCATATATTTACAACTAAAATGTAAGGCCAGGGTTTAAACCTGGATCTTCTAGTTGATAATCCAATCAGCACTATAATTCAAAGGAAAAGAACAAAAAACTAGGCATTTTTGCAAGCTGATAGACCATAAAGATGCTCTAGGAAAAGGCTTGTTCATAGGATGAAAGCCAGGCTTCCAATAGCCACTGTAAGGTCCATTTAATGGTGCCAGGGTATAAAATACTGTCTAGTGTCATCTCTGTAATTCTCCCAACAAACTGTTGTATCCACATACGCAGCCCAATAGTTCCTGGTTCTGGGTGTCCTACTGGGTCTTTTAAGGCAGACCCCCAATTTAGTTCTACCTTCAAGTAGGTTTTTATAGGCTACAGACTTATGCTCTGTGAAGAGGTGTAGAATCTTTGTCTTACGCTCATGCTTAGAGTAAAGTGAGGAGATTTTAGTTTCTTCTCACCCAGGAATTCTGCAGGCAGCCTGAGCTGAGCATGAGAATGTCCCCAGGGTGGTACTTTACATCACCTGTCCTTCGATAAGCATGGGTACGCAGACAACGATAAGATTTTGTATGCTTTGTGCTTTGATTTTTGCTTTGACAATTTTTGCCTTCTTGTCTCTTTCAGTGGCTTTTAAAAAGACATTTCTCTAATGCTGATATTCGGTTTGATTTCTGACTTAATTTTTGTCTCCCAGCTTTTTTTTTTCTTTCCATTTAACATGCGGTGTTCCGTGCCTTTGAGGCTCTGAGCTGCTGCTGATGTGCTGTACCTCCTTCATCCTCAGCTTTCGAAGGGGAAAACTGCGGAAGACCGGAACTGCTCCACTGCCCCACCTGGGAACGCCCATAGGAAGATCAGTAAGTGCTCCTTCCCACATATTCAGTTTTACTGAGTTGGAGTGGAGTACAGCCAGGCGGACAGACATTTCTCAAAAGTGTATGGATATTGGGTCTTAAAGGGCTAATGCTGCTTTGGGCTAATGCAAAGGGCTAATGCAAAGGGCACAGGCTGCTAGATCTTTGGTATACATTAGCAAATTAACAGTCAACATTTGACTTAGTTACTTTTCACCTACAGTCTTCAGGATGTTTGTAGCAAATGTGTTTGTTTCTCAGAGGAAAGCAGAGGGAGAAACTGCATTACTGTTAAAGTCCATAGTTAGCTCTTGACACTTTGGAATCTTGAAATGTGCTATCAGATAGTTCCCAACTGAGTAGTCTGTCCTTCTCTCTAAGAATTTATAGGTTAGAATGATTCCAGGAAATAGGATCTGTGGGCTAAAGCACTTGCTGCACAGGCAGGAACGGAATCTCCAGCACCTGTGTACAAAGCCAGGCGCGGCTGTGCATGCCTGTGACTCCAACACAGGAGCCTTAGGTTTCCCTGGCCAGCCAGCCTAGCCAGCACAATGAGCTCCTGCTTTATTGTGACACCCTATTGCAAAGGAATAAGGGAGAGAGTGACAGAGGAGGACACTGTGTGCCATCTTCTTGTACACCTGTACACTAACTTGCATGGGTCTCACTCACACAGATGCTTCACACACTGAATGCATACACAAAGCACAAAATTAGTAAAAAAAAAAAACCAAAACAAAATACACACTCTAATAATGAATAAAATAAAAAACAGACTGCTGAGACCGTCTTTTGTCAGAGACAGAAAGAAGTACATCAAATGGTAAAATGGACTCCCAAGACTGCTTTTCATAACAATGGCAATCGCGGTGAGTCAGCTTTATCTTTTAATTCAGAATAAAATTATTAACAATAACTTCAGCGTCACATAGTGCAGTTTGCACCCACTTCACAGGAATTAACTGCCATAAAAGACTTTTTAGAGTCGGGCATGCACTTAGGAGGTAGAGGCAGAAGCAGGTGGATCACTGTAAGTTTGAGGCCAGCCTGGTCTACAAGAGCTAGTTCCAGGACAGCCAGGGCTACACAGAGACCCTGTCTCAAAAAAAAAAAAAAAATAGGAAAGGAAAGAAAGAAAAGGCCTTTTAGATTCAGGCAGTGGTGGTGCACACCTTTAATCCTAGCACTCAAGAGACAGAGGCAGCTGGATCTGAGTTTGAAGCCAGGGTGCTCTATAGAGTAAGTTTGAAGCCAGCAGGTCTACACAGGAAAGGTGTGAAATAGAAGTCTAGGTGTTCATATGCTGAGGTACATTTAGTTTTCTTACTGCCTGAAAGTGTACTTCATGGTTTTGAGTATTTTTTTTTTTGCTGTTGTGCTGTTGCTCTCTCTCTCTCTCTCTCTGTGTGTGTGTGTGTGTGTATGTCTGTATTGTCTACATTCTACTGACCCTGTCTGAGAAAACTGCAATTCTGGATACCCTAGCATGGTCTATTTTTTATTCTAGATAATTAGGGTCAGAAAACTTTGAGCAAGGAGGTCTCAACCATAATTCAGGATTTCCTACTGAAGAAATATAGCAATGAAACTATTAATTCCAAACCATAAATACAGGCAAACAGGGCTCACCTCAGAGTCCTGATCCTTTTTTCTAGTACTCTCTAGGCTTGGCACCTTACCCAGGGGCACTGTGTGGATCACAAGCTGTCATCCACCTTCTGCATTTACGCCGGGGCGACTTTGCAGGGTGTGTTTTCAGTGTTAGATGTTTTCTTTAGTTGGCTGTGTTGAATTCTGTGTGGAAGAAGGAGTGATTTATTTATCATTCCCTAAGTGAGTATCCTGTTGATCCTCGTGGCCAGACCTCCAAGCCTTTTCTGTGCTGGTTGTTTTAGTTAGAGAAGCTCGTGTCTATTCTCTGAGTCTCTGAAGAAGCCTGGATTTATCACAGATCATCCCAGCTAGCCGTTTCTTGAAAGGGTTTAGGGAATGGAATATGATGGTTCTTAGATTGATGCTTGTTTTTCAGCCAATTATGAGCTTGTTCAACTGCAAGAAAAACTAAAAGAGACAGAAGAAGCCATGGAAAAATTAATCAATAGAGTGGGACCTAATGGTGAGAGGTAAGTTTTCTTTTTTGTTTGTTTACTTGCTCACTTTTGAGACAGGATTTCTTTGTGTTGCCTTGGCTGTCCTAGGACTAGACTAGGCTGGCCTCAAATTCACTGCCTTTACCTCCTGGGCGAAATAAATGGGGCAGTGTGATGGCTCATCAGGTAAAGGTTCTCTTTTTCTTTGTTTGTTTTTGGTTTTTGAGACTGTGTTTCTCTGTGTAGCCCTGGCTGTCCTGAAACTCACTCAGCAGACCACGCTGGCCTCAAACTCAGAGATCCTCCTACTTCTGCCTCCCAGGTTCTGTAATTAAAGACATGTGATTACACATCCAAAACTTTTTTTATTCTTTATGAGACAGGGTCTCACTATGTACTTTTGACTGTCCTGGAACCCGCTCTGTATACCAGGCTGGCCTCAAACTCACAGAAATCTGTCTGCTTCTGCCTTCCGAGTGCTGGGATTAAAGGCATGCCCCACCATACCTGGCTCAAGAGGTAAGTTTTCATCAAATAGGACTCAGATAATTTCATGAGTATCTTTTTGCTTTTGATGTATAGACATGTAAGTCTTACATGGTTTTGTCTTATGTAATTGTCAGGTTAGGTATAATATATGTATTCTTTCTCAGTTGAAATCCAGTTTCATATTATTGAGAAACCTATTTTCAAGCATTAAATGTGGTATGAATTATTGTGAGAGTTTGAAATTTGTAAATCATGTAGGATCAAATAACCTAGTTTTAAGAAGTATCTTTCCCTAGTTGTCTAATGTAAAATATTAAGTAAAATCTGGTTATTGTATGTTATATTTTCTGAGACCAAATTGAAAAACGAAAAACCAACAAACAAGGGGCTGGAGAGATGATGCAGTAGTTAAGAGCACAGCTGCTCTTCCAGAGACCTGGGTTCAGTTCCCAGCACCCACATGGCGGCTCACACTGTCTGTAGCTCCAGTTCCAGGGGAGGGGATCCATTGCTCTCCTCTTGCCTCCCTGGACACTGCACACATGTAGTGCACAGACATATATTCAGGCAAACACTTAGGAAGGAACATTCTGCTCTGCCACACTGGCCAAGGATCTGAAAAAGAAGGGGCAAGAGGTTTATGAAAATGGGAACTGAAGGCGTAAGTCACAAACAATGCCATACCAATTTGGGGTTATGATTATTAGGGTGGTATTTATTTAAAGGGGAAAAAACTTACAGATCACTGTCCCAGGCAACAGCCCTCTACGCAACCAGGAAAGGAGTCTAGTCCCCGGCAGAGCAGGAAGTGAAGAGAGAGAGGAGAGGAAAGTGGCCGCTTTTTTAAAGGGAGAGAAACCATGCCCCAATGGGCTGGTACCTCAGCGGTGATAGGCTGGAGGAGTGGGAGGACCTCCCGCAACACCTTCCCCTTTTGTTTAAATAAGAGAGTTCTAAACCTACTATGAAATTATATACAATAAGTACAAATATCCTATTCTAACTAGCTTAGGTCTTATATAATAAATAACTTGGCCAAGTCATGAGAGAAAGTAACTACATTTATATAGTCTTCAACCCCATCAAAGATCTGAGAAGGGAAATAATGTTACCTGGGTAATTAGGAAGTTCAGTAAAACAACTTCCAAAACATGCAACAAATCACAGAGACAACTGGCTACCTGGGCAATCACCCAAAATCACGTTAGCAGCGTTGAAGCAACCAACTTTGGCTAAGGCCTAACATAACTGACATACCATTTTCAAAGGCAAGCAACTTTTCAAAACTATCTTACCCTGTCTTGGCAGGATATGACAGCCCTGTTTTATCCATTGATGCATGCTCTGTATCTCTGTCAGTGGTTGAGGTATGGGCATTTCTTTGCCCAAAGGCCAGTTCTGCCAAAAAGAAAAGCTCCAGGTGGAGTGTCTTTGGTGCTCAACATTCTCTCGGGAATAGAGCAGTGATGCCAGGAGCAATTGTGTCTCACTACCACAAAACTCTGAGTTAGATTAAAGGCCATTTTCTACAGCTCCTTGAAGAAGTTGAAGATTATCTATCTATACTGAGTATAATCTCTATATATCTAAAGAACCTGATTAGTCTAATTATAAATGACAAACTTAGATGACTATTAATCTATATAATTCTCAATATCTATCTAACTTAAAGACTAAGAAAATAAACTACTGTGAAACAAATGAGGACAATGACCTCCAAAAATAAACAATGTACAAATATACATTGCAGTAGGTAAATATATATCAATACACAATCATTATATAAGTATCTTAATCAGAGGTAGAAATGTACACTGCAATATGGTAAATATATACAATATATATATATATCAATACAATATATGTCAATACATAAAAAATGTTTTAAACAGAGGTAGAAACATGCATGCGTACAATAGTCAATATAATTTAACTTTGTATCAATATACAAGAATCTATACCAATGTATTTGTCTAAAGACAGTAACTCACAATTACAAATCTATTATCCCATCATCCCTCTTTTTTTTTTTCAAAATGATCCCTGAGCGTATAAAATTCCTCCCCCAACCCCCAATCACATACTAATTATAATCAACCCCTAAATGATGTCCCTAAACCCAACCGCCAAGCCGAACTCGCGGCTGCGAGTGGGGAAAGGAGAGGTTCTAAAACCAAACGTTGGGTGCCAAAATGAAGGCGTAAGTCACAAACAATGCCACACCAATTTGGGGTTATGATTATTAGGGTGGTATTTATTTAAAGGGGAAAAAACTTACAGATCACTGTCCCAGGCAACAGCCCTCTATGCAACCAGGAAAGGAGTCTAGTCCCCGGCAGAGCAGGAAGTGAAGAGAGAGAGGAGAGGGAAGTGGCCGCTTTTTTAAAGGGAGAGAAACCATGCCCCAATGGGCTGGTACCTCAGCGGTGATAGGCTGGAGGAGTGGGAGGACCTCCCGCAACAGGGAACAACTTAAAAAACAAAACCAGGAAGGAAAAGCCAGAATGTGATACTGTGGATACTATGTACCAAGACAGAGAGTCTCAGCTGAACTTTCTAACAGGAAGAAGGGAGAACTTCACGGTGGGCCATAACAATCTCATGCGGGATAGTGAACAGTCTCTCCCACAGTGGTCCACAGTTATGGAGTCTTTGATGCAAGGAACAGGCATTGACCTCTTATATTTGCCATCTTTCAAGTACTTCTTCTCTGTGTCTCCTCCTCTGTTCCCTGACATCTAGTTTGCCCATCCCTGGTTGCATATTAGAAGAGTAAACAACTGAACGGTGGCGTGCCTTTAATCCTAGCACTTGGGAGATGGAGGCAGGTGGGTCTCTGAGTTCAAGGCCAGCTAGGTCTACAAGTTCCAGGGCTAACAGTGAAATTCTGTCTCAAAAAAGAAAGAGAGAATGAGAGAGAGAGAGAGAGAGAGAGAGAGAGAGAGAGAAGAAAGAGGAGTAGGCATCCTCACACTGCAGCTTCATGGCCTGACATTTCCTTATATTATCTCCTGTGCTATTGAAATGCTATTCATGAGGATGAACACTGGAACATTGCCTGTCTATATCAGGAACTTTGACCTCTTCGCAGTTCAGAAAGTAGGCTTAAAACCTAAAATGTTTTCTGAAGTCACATATATACATGACTGTACTTGTGTGTGTATATAAAGGTTCACTAAACTTGCTAAAGACTGTTCTGAGCTAACTGCTTTTGTAGACATTATCTAATGTACAAATGTATGTGACTTTCCTGTCTGGGTGGAGAACTACCCTGACTTTTATAGGCTCTTATGCACTTATTGACATCTGTGTTTCTTCTTTTGAGAACTGTACATTCAGTTCAGTAGGCTTTTTATTGTTTGTATGATTAGATTTTTTAATTTTCTGTTCTTTATCTATTCTATGATCTTAGTCCCCTGTCTGATGTGTAGCCAGTAGGATCCTGTACCGTTTCTGCAGGCATCCTTCACTCTGGTGATCGTTTCCTTTGCAGTGCAGTAGCTTTTTAATTTTACATAGTCCTATTTCAGTTCTTATGGAGTTTCCTGTGCTATTTGGATCCCTGAAATAAAAATCCTGTGCCTAGATCTTGAAGTGTTTCACCTGCTTTCCTCTAGCAAGCTAAGAGTTGCAGAACTTAGCATGACCTACCTAGTCCTGGGAGGGACTCTGTTTTCATCCTCTCCTTTGATTCATTTGAATAGGTTCCTGTGCAGGGTGAGATGTGCACCAGGTTTCCTTCTGTGCCTGTAGTTCTAGCAGTCGTGATTCTCAGAAGAACTGTGGATGCTCCAGTGTTTTCTGTTAGATGATTTTGATGACATCTTGACTTCTGGGGCAAGGAAAGGATTTAAGACAAGGAGCACAAGCTTGCTTACAGCTCTAACCTTTTGTATGGTATCCATATACTGCATACTTTCCATAGTGCTCCTGACTGCAAGATGTTGTCCTGAAACTGAGAAATAGTACCCTCATATATCTATGTATGACTAGAAGCATGAAAAGGGTTCCTGATGTGGCTCATAAATTTTTGAGGCACCTTTCACCTCAGGGATATAGGTCTGTACATGTGCAGTGACTTCTATGTTTTGTCTGATTTTAAACATAGTATCAACTCAGAGACACAGTTAAGGAAGCAAGGTGAGATGTTCTTATTTCGCCTTTAGAATTAGCAAGGTTTCCTTCCAAGAGTAAAGTGTCTGGTCAGAAATGACTTATATTCTAGAAACATGGTGTAGCCTGAGAAAGCGCTGGTTAGAAAGAGCCTACTCCTGAGTGCCCTGGCCTTGTCAACCTCCCTCACATGCTCTCTTGTACATGCCCCACCCTCCCCCCAACACACGTAACTACTCCTTCCCCCACCCCCCAAAACATCTTTGCATCTAGGACCTTGCAAATCTATTTTCCTTTGCTGAGGCATTGACCTCCACTCAGTTGGTTCAATCTAGGTCAAGCAACATTTAATGAACCAGTCACGACAGACAGGAAGATGGAATAGGAAGACTGCCACTTGACCACTGTCAAAGGAAAGTAAAGGGATGAATGGCTGTACCCTAACCTATAGTGTGAGCAAAAGAGAGACTGTGCCCCCATAGGAAACCAACTAGGTAATAACGTGGAAGGAATGGAAAGATACAAAGATCCCTGAAGATTTATAGTACTTCTTGGGAGATTCTGGCATTAACTAAGATTAAACACGAAAGAAGATGAGGATTGTGAGATAATGAACATGAACTGAACTTTGAATATGGTTGAGATGCTGTCACAATAGCCACATATAATATATAATACCTATAGGACTATGTGCTATTGGGGATACGATCAAGGTCATGGTGAAAGATGAGATCACCAAATCTTTGAGACCATCATATTCTGGTGTTAGCCTTGGTCTTTCCTTTCTGCTTTGTTCTATCCATATTTAACTCTTAGATTTGGACTTGATGATTTCTTTGATTAAAAGTCAAGTGACATTATTTAACCACCTGTGACCTTATATTTTTCTAACATTTTGGAATCTGCCATAGATAACCTGTTATTCTGTTCTGCTTGTTCATGTAGCTTCTTGTGGGCCTTGGTTTTGAGGGACTGAATTTAGGGTTAATTTGAAATTTAGTGTGATGACAAGTCCCCAATAGAGATGCTGAGGAAATAACTAGACAACAGGGACATCTGGGTAAAAAGTAAAGACTAAAGAAAGGGTTCGGATATCTTCTCTTTAGGTAATGACTTAATCTGTGATGCTGGATCATGACTGGCTTTAGTAAATGGAGAGAGTAGGCCAAGGTCAGAACTAAAATGCCTAGAGAAGTGGGAGGGATGCAGGTGTGCTCCTGTAAAGCAGGAAGTTTCGGAAGGATGCTCTTTGGTAAGAATCGGAAAGAACAAACTGGAAGATAAAGACCCCTGGACTCAGGAGTAAAACAGTCACTGATGATTTCTGTAAGATTTGGTAAATGACAGAGTGAAGACCACATTTCAGAGGTAGAGGAAAACAAATGTGAGACCAGCCAGACGCATATGTAGGCGTGCTGTGTGTGCTGCCACAAGCAGTCTGACTGCCCTGCGGGGGCTTCAAGGCAAGCTGAGATAGCAAGAATTCCATAAAAACGTTCTCTGTGGTAAATCCTGAAGAGGTGACATGTGTATCCTGGACTCTGTTTAATAGGCAGGCAGACATATGTTTTCAAAGTTAAAAGGATGTTTTAGTTTGCCATTTTATCTGTTGTACTTTAAAGGTTTCCATTTTCCATAAGTTAGGAACAGAGGCTCAGTTTTGTTTCATTTAGTGGCAGACTATTCCATGTACAGTTAGAGAAACGGTCTGTAAACCTGCTAGCCAGAGCTTTGTGAACGCAGGCAGGTTGTCCTATTCTACCCCTGAACTCTCCCACAAAATGGGTCATTTTCATTAGAGGAAATTGGAGAACAGAACTGATTTTGTTTTCTTCCCAGTGAGGGGGGTGGAAGTGACACACCCTTTTCCTCAGTTACATGCTCAGAGTTTGAAGGAAAAGCCTGTTTTTCCTGTCAGGTGAGCTAGGAGAAGAGCCCAGTGCAGATCTCACTGAGCAGAAGAGAGGAATGGGCGCCTCCATAACTGGTGCGTGGTTTTCTCCTGCGGCTCTGACTTGGGTGCTTGGGGCTTTAAGGAGAGAATGAGCAGTTCTCTCAATTCCTCCACTAGATGAACTGGCCTCAAAACAGATTTCTGTTTGCTGTCCAAGACCCTGCCTTTCTGTATGATGCAGCGTTTTCCTCTCCGGGGCCTTGTTTCCCTCAGGTCTGGTGCTGTTCTTGCAGGTATTTGCCCAGAACCACAGCTAAGTTGGCAGTCAGGTGCAGTTTTCCAAACTGTAGAAATTGAGTACCGTGGTGGGGTATTGGCTCATTGGTAGAGTGTTTGCTTATCGGAGTTCTAAAAGAAAGGGGAGGAGAGGGAGTGGGAAAGGAGAGATGGAAAAAGAAAAGGCACGAACTGTAATCACCATGTGTAAATTTCAGTTTGTGGATCTCAGGTTGTCAGTTTCTCTCTCTAAGAAAGCCTTTCGGATTCCAGTCCAGTGTTTTTCTGTGGTTGAGACTAATGGTCTAGAATATTTTTCTTTGACATCCTTGCTTCAGAGAAGTGTCTCATAGTAAAGGGAATAAGGTATGAGTTTGAGGGAAATTGAGAGTCTGGGGGCTCAGCCTTGTGAGATGTACGGCTGAGACCACTGGGGTTTTGTTTCCATCTCAGTAATCATGGACTCAAGCAGTCACTGAAGTACTCTGGAGAGTAGACTCCCGTGTGTAAGATCACAACATGGAACTAACATCTCTGGCACCAACCATGACATTCCAGAGTCAATCCTAGAAAATCAGCTGCTGTTAGACCTCCTCTGTGAGGATCCAAACAGATCATGGCGAAGTTTCCCCCATTGCTTAGAAGTGCTGACCACCAAATGGCTGGATTGTCTGTTTCTCAGCAGAGCACAGACTGTGACATCTGACCAAGAGAAACGATTACTGCATCAGCTCCGAGAAATCACGAGGGCCATGAAAGAAGGCAAGTTCATCGACACATCTACTCCAGAGAAGGAAGCTGAGGAAGCCCCTTACATGGAGGACTGGGAAGGTAAAAGGCCACCTTACTTCTTTTTTAGCTGTCACCCAGAAAAGACTTCTTACCAGTTTCCTTAAAAATCAGCTGGTACTGAGGCATGACAAATCTCTGTTCTCACTTTATAATGTTTACCTTTTATAAATGTGCAGTTGGAAAGTTTGGCAAACATCTACAGTTGTAATCACACTCAGAACAGTTTCATGGTGCTAGAAAGTCCTGCCCTCCTGCCTCTGGCAGCCCCAATAATTGGGCTTTTCCTGTATCAATGGATTGTAGTGCAGATGCGCTGTGGTGGACGTCTTCTGTTTAGAGTAATGCTTTTGAGAGTCATGTGTGTTGTTGAGTCACACATTCTTTCTGAAGTTACTGGAGTGTTGTATAAATATACCACAGCTTGTTCATCCACTCACTAGCTGATTAACACCAGGCTCTTCTGGCTTTGGACTGTGGGGTCCTAGCTGCTGTGAGGTTTGCATGCAAGGCTGCTCATGGCTTCTTTTGGACATACTGTGCTTCTCTTTCAATATAGGACTGGGATTTCAGGGTTTATAGTCCGTATATGTTTAAATTTACAGACACTGTAAGCTAGCTTTAAAGTGGCTGTACATTTTCACCAGTAGCTTGTGAGTCAGTTATCCCATATCCTTGCTAATACAATGTCTCTGTAAATGTTAGCCATTCTGTGAGATTACAGTGGTATTGCAGTCATAAGTCAAATTTACATTTTCCCAGTGACTTATGATGTTGAACATTTTTTCATGTGCTTATTTCCAAACTGCATATCTTTGTTGAAGAGCTTGTTCTAATTATTATTTTTGATTATTGGTTTGAATGTGTTTTTATTAAGTTGCAACATAATTTATTTACTGTCTTTTTTGAGACAAAGTTTTGTGATACAGTAGCCCTGGCTGGGCTATAGTCACTGTATAGCACCCAGGCTAGTTATTCATGAATGCATTATCCTTGTGCCTCAGCATCCCTAGTACTGGGATTATATATGTGCATCACCATTCCCAGCTCTAAGAGCTTTTATGTATCTTGGATGCAAGTACTTTACTAGTTAGGTATTTTACATGTATTTTCTCATAAACTGTAACTCACCTTTTTATTTCCTTAATAGCATCTTTCAAATAGAAGCCTTAAATTTTTATGAAGTTATATTTTTCATTTTTCTTTTAACTCATATTTTTATATGTTCTGTTTAAGACATCTTTACCTTATTCAAAATGTTTTCCTCTAGAAATTATATGACTTTAATGTTTGCATTTAGGCTTATTTGAGAATCATTTTTTAATTAATATTTTTGAAATTAAAGTATAATTACATCATTTTCTCCCTTTCCTTTCCTCCCTCCAACCCCTCCCTTGAGATTATCTTTATAGATGGTAGGCATCAGAACTTAAATTTGCTTTTTCATATCTCAGTATTATATCACTCTCCTTTAATTTGATTTAACACACTGGTTGAAAATCATTTGACTCTGTGTGTGTGTTTTCCTAAGTGTGAAACCTAGAGCTTTGCACGTGTGGGCACATGCTCTGCCACTGTGCTTCATTGCTAGTCCAATACCAAATGTCAGCCCTGAAAACATACATACATACAGGTAACATACAGATTGAGAAGGTTGTATTTATATGTTTAGGAATGCACATCACATACATACATACACATGTCACAACAATTAAAGAAAAAGAGCCCTGCATTGGTTTTTTAGTTCTAGAATAATTATGATGTGTGTTAAAATCTATTTTTGTCATGATAATATATGGCTAGACTCAGTTTTCAAAGTCTTTCCCTCCTTTTATTAAAAATAGATTCTTTTCTCATACAATATATCCTGATTACAGTTTCCCCTCCCTCTACTCCTTCCATTTCCTTCCCCCACCTCCTTGCTCCTCCTGATCCACTACCTTTTCGTCTCCCATTAAAAACAACAGGCTTCTAAGAGATAACAATAAAAATAACAAAATAAAATATAATAAGATAAAACAAAAACCATCCCATCAGAGTTGCACAGGCAAAGCAGCAGAAGGAAAAGAGCCCTAAGGAAGGCATAAGATCCACTAGTTCACAAACTCCTTGGGGTTCCCTGAACTCTAAGGGGACGAATTGAATGGAGACATCCCATTTAGAGCTGTGTGTTCCAAGGACTCCCTCTCCGTATAATGTCTGGCCGTGTGTCTCTGTATTTGTTTGCAAAGATTATTTTTTAATGCTGGTGTTTATAAAGGCTACTACTTACTAGTGATTTTCTTTTATCCTATACTGTCTTTGGACTTGATTTCAGAGTAATGCCATGCACTGGGGTTGCAGTCTTTTTTGGAAGTTTGTGTTGAAGTGCTGTTAATCCATAATCATTAGTGGAGTTTATCTGGGCCTGCCTGGGGGATTTTTGTGTTTTGGAATGTGTGTGCAGGTGCATGTGTAGACTTGCAAGAATAAATTGAATTTCTTTAATACTTTAAGTAAGCTTTGAAAGTAGTTTTATAAGTTTTGCATACTTCATACAAATGTCTTGTTAAAAAAATATTGTTCATAATCTTTCCTACCTACTTACTATCTGTGACACCAAGGGAATGTATACTTTTTTTTTTTTTTTTTTTTTTTTTTGGTTTTTCGAGATAGGGTTTCTCTGTAGCTTTAGAGCCTGTCCTGGAACTAGCTCTTGTAGACTGGCCTTAAACTCACAGAGATCTGCCTGTCTCTGCCTCCCAAGTGCTGGGATTAAAGGCATGCACCACCACCACCCGGCGGGAATGTGTACTTCACTGTACTGATACTAATAATCTTTTCTTCCTCTCACTTCTTTTCCTGATCAACTGCACAGACTTATAACTTTTGATCTTCTCAAAGGCCTGTGTTTTGTTCTCATTGTGAGGTTGGCTCTGGAATATACTTGAGGGCTGGTTTAGCCTTAGTGAGCCTTGTTTGAACCCAGTTTCTGACAAGTCTTCTCCTCTGGATAGTAGAACAAGCTCATCTTACCTACGTGTAAGTTTAGGATGTCCTTACTGCTGACACCTGGCGGCATCTTGTTCCTTCCCATGTCAGTATTCTGCTACAAACGTGAGGTTCCCTCTGCATGTCTCTGAAGTATTTAATTAAGAAGCTCTGTAGTTCTCAGCAAATTCTGACTTCCCTTCCTTCTCTGAACTCTCGTGTCTGTTTTTCTGAACTCAGGGAATTCCATGGGCCCCCTTTTCCCTTCTCGGGATTATTGTGGCCCACTTGTTTTGTAGTATTTGAAGATGTGCAAAAGGTATAAACAGACGTTTCAGCAGCGAGGATACAGATCGCAAATACACACAATAAAGCATATTCAACATAATTTTCCTCTTACAAAATGCAAATTAAAATTAGAAAAAGATAGTAGTATACAAGTAGTGCACAACTTTATCCCCAGCAGAAGTAGAAGCAGAGGCAGTTGAATCTCTGTGAGTTTGGGGCCAGCCTGGTCTATATAGTAAATTCGGGCAAAAGGGCTATATAGTGAGACACTGTCTCAAAAAAGGATGCTTCTCCATACCTTTCAGAATGACTGAAATAAGAAATTGCACCAGATTGGACTACAAAGAAAGTATTATGTTTGCATTGGTAGTGAGATATGGAAGGGAATGCATGTGTTATTATTAGTTATTTTTCTGTCTCAGTGACCAAATGACTTCCCTTGCCAGTGGCAGGAAGACTTAATGGAACATCCCATTTCACAACAGGTAGGGTTCAGAAAGTAGAGAGATGGCCAGGGATCTATCCTCAGCAATCTATATCTTCCAGCGATAACTAGAACTCCAAAACTAGAACCCCCAGCTGGGAGCCAGGCATTAAGAATATGAGTCTGTAAGGGACATTTTGTGTTCAGTCCACAACAGGATGTTTTGGAAAACAAAGTAGTAGTTTGTTTAAAAAAAAAAAATCTAAGCATGTAAATACTATGTAATATAGCAGTTGCAGCCTTGATATTTATACCCAAGAAATGAGGACAGGGACATGCAGGACTTGTACATGAATATTCATAGCAGCTTTATCTAATAGGTAAAACAAGAATCAATTTGAATATCCTTTAGCAGGTGAATAGTTAAATGGTGGTACACGTATTACATAGTATACCACAAAGCAATAAGAAGGAATGAATTATTGATACATGTAGAGAATTATGCAGGGTGAAGGGTAGAAGCTTATTCAAAAAGCTATGATTCTATATGTATAATACTTTTCAAATGGCAAAGTTTGGGAATAGATAACATACTAGTAATTGTTAGGAGTTGAGTAGCAACATGCTGGTAGGAAGGAGAGGTTGTGGCCATGAAGGGCAACAACATAAGGCAGCCTTGTGGATGAATATATTCTCTACTATAATGTTTTTCTTTTTGTGTATGTTGAATGCATGCATTTGTATGGAGTGTGTATGCATATATGCATATTCACGCGTGTTTTCAGACAAAAGGTTGAGGTCAGATATCTTTTTTATTTTTATTTTCAGGTGTCTTTCTTAATTTCTTTCCACCTTATATATTTAGGCAGGAACTCTTGTTTAAATCCAGAGCTTTCCAATTTCAAGCTTGTCTTGAGGGTCCTGTCTCAGCCTCTAAGCACTAAGATTACAAGCAGGTTGTTCATGCACACCTGCTGTGTATGTGGTGTTGGGGATTAACTGCCAGGCCTTGTGCTTGCAGGACAAGGCCCTTTCCGTTGAACTATCTCCCTACTCCTGTTCTGCTAATGTAGATATCTTGTATGGTGGTTTGAAAGAAAATAGCTCCCAAAGGGGTGGCACTATTAGGAGGTGTGGCTTTGTTGGAATGCATATGGTCTTCTTGGAGGAAGCGTGTTACTGTAGGGGCGGGCTTTGAGGTGTCCTATGCTCATGGTAGCCCAGTCTGTCAGTCAACTTCTGGTTGCCTGCAAGATGTAGGACTCTCAGCTGTTCCTCCAGCATCATTTCTACCTTCATGCTACCATGCTCCCCACCACGATGATAATGGACTGAACCCCTGAAGCAGTAAGCCAGCCAC